TTGCTTCATTCCCTCTTTTTATTTGCTCAATGGCGGAACCAATGGGCATAAAGGCTTTTGCTTGTTTGCTGCAGCTTTTGTGTGAAGCAGCTCGCATGATGCTCTGGCACATTTTATGTTGCACAAATTTGGCAGGATGTATAAAAATGGTGCTGGTGACTGTTGAAATATTTTGCTTTCATCATTTTCGCAGGTGTAGGCGCAGCTTCACCTGACGTGGCGTCGAACTACAAGGAGCCAGCCAGAGGCCTCTGCGGGGATAGACAACGACCTTCTGTGCAATGAGTACTTGGCACACGGCACAGGTCAAGTTAAGCAGCCTCACCTCGTCTGGATCAACTTGTGATTCACTACCTGGCGATTGTGATGAATGTGAACAAGATATTATTTCTCAGTGTTAACATAGTAAATACCACCAATAATTAATTTGCCACAATCTCTCAATGTTGTCTTCGCAATTATTGGTAGGGAATTCCACCTTGCTCAAGACTGTTTTACGAGCAAATTCTCACGTGCCTATATGCCGGTGCCAATTATTCCCTGGATCTGTAAAACGACAATAACTGTAGTTAGTTGCGTCAATGTAATGTCAAGTACAGTTGTCTAATCTATTGGGTAGCAGAGGAGGTTCTCGTGCACTCCATCTGTTGGAACTGGTAAGAACTAATAGAGCGCGTCCAAGTGCCTCTTTGGTGTGGGCCACTCGCTTCTGTGTTGTGCTGCTTACACATCTTGAGGCTCTGATATTAAAAGATGGCATTTAAGCACAGTGCCTGTATTTTGGGTTTACGCGCTGTGCAAAGCGAACCAAGCTGCCACAAATTCTGCACCACAGTGTTCCACAATAATGCCCTGACGAATCGACTTGAGCCGATGGTTGGCTTTTTAATGACCAGTAGTAAATATCATGCAGTTAGTCTAAGGTAAGAATGCAAAGACGCACGGAAGCAATTACTTACTACATTGAAATGTTTAGGCATAACAGGTTTGCTTTTACATCAGCAACAATTTTTTGCACTTAAAAGCAAACGTGTTTTTAAGTAATGGCAGAAATTCTCATTAGAATGGGAGCAATTAATGACACAGACTCGCTTTAGAAAACCCAATTTTTATCATATAGTTACGATTTTTAGATTGTCTGCAAATTAAAAGCACCTCCTAGGAGAAGTTTAGAGTACTTTTACCTATAAATTGTTGAGGGTAGATATTTAAATGCGTATATTTGGACATGAACACAAAACCATCAAGATAGCTTCTATTTCACTCAAAAAAGCAGTACAATTTGCCCTTACCTAAATTTTATATGATGTTTTTTTTTGCATGCTGACAGCGCATAAAAAAGAGTGACTAAAATTAGCAGACGTATTCCAGGATATTTTAAATGCGCGGTATTTGGGATAGTATATGTAGGTCAAGGCAAAATATCAAAACAAACTGATTAAGCATCACTGAATTAATATTTGCAGTTGGCTGTTTCTATATTTTTACCACGAATTATTTGCTTTATAGCACGCTGAATAACAGTGTTATACGTTTGATGGGGCGAAGTCCAAATTGTCAGGGTTGTTCTCTGTTAATTGATAACTTCATTATGTATAAGGCAAAATCGGATACTAAAAAATTAGGATAAAATGTTTTTAAAGGTTCTCTATATATGTGTGAACTTGCTTGTTGTTAAACAAACGCTAGTTGGAAGCCTTTATTAAATGTCAGCATAAATTCTTTCGTAGCTAAGAGAAATAAGGATCTGTAGATGTCTCCAAACGTTTCTGTATTATTCAGGTGACAATGCTTGCAGCATACATTTCTTAAGGCACAGAGTTGCTGCAAACTACACTTACACAACGCCATGTTTTTTTGCGACTGTGCAAATGGATTGGCCTAGGTTCTATCGAGGTTTTTAAACAGGGTACTAAGGAATTGAACATCAGAATTTCTTACATTCTACTACACTGCTAAATAAAATGCCACTAGAATAGCTGCCCGAATAACATGGTGGGAAGCTCACATGGACATTGGATCCTGTGCCACTAATAAGTCACCTTTTACACCAATTCGTTTTATATCTCTTTCGTTAAGCAGTTATCTAGTCGTTTAAAAGGACGCCAATTTATGCGCTCAAATACACTCCACACCTACAACTGCGTGTGCAACCACTTTTGCATCTGGCACCATCCTTGTTCAAGGACGACTCCGATTATTGACAGACTAGTTAATCATTTGAGTCGTTTATCAATGAAGCAATAAGTCAACTACGCGTCCAAATCACGCTTTGAAGAATGTTGGAATCGCTCCTGAGTTGCTCGCAAAAAAAAAAAATTTCGCCACTCCAATTTTAACTCCACAGACAACTCTTCCCAATTCTTCATTACTCTTTTTGTCTACTATCACTACTGCATTCGACAATCCCATTGTCCAGCCCTTGGCTCTTTCAAACTTACTTAATACATGTAAATCTTGAGGTCTGTTTCCCTCTGGATGCCTTCACACATGGAAGTCGACATCTTCTTGTCTTACCTCCCCTATCTCCACAACCGCTATAGCTGTCATCGGGGAAATCACAACTGGTGTTGACTCACAGATCCTATTCCTTCTTCAGGCATTCCACCTCTACGCTAGCCCTCAATCACCTATCTGCCTTTTATCAATAAAGCAAAAGTCTACTGCACGTCCAAATCCCGCTCCGAAGAAAGCCTGAATCGCTCCTGAGTTGCTCGTAATATGTACAAAATGCTTCACTCCAATTTTAACTCCACCTACAACTCTACCCAATTCTATATTTCCTCTTTTTGTTTGCTATCAATACTGCATCTAATAATATCATTATTTAGCTCTGGCTTTTTCACACTCACTCAGTACATGTACAGCTTGAGGTCCGTTTCCCTCTGGATGCCTTTACACATGAAAGTCGACATCTTCTCGTCTTACCAAAGCCATCTGGATAATTGCTTTCGCTGTCATCGACGAAATCACAACTGGCAAA